GGGGGGGGGGGCTGGGGCGTGGCTTAGGGGTAGAGCCCTGCCTAGAATCCCCCAGGGAGGGACTGGGGCGTGGCTCAGGGGTAGAGCCCTGTCTAGAATCCCCCAGGGAGGGGCTGGGGCGTGGCTCAGGGGTAGAGCCCTGCCTAGAATCCCCCAGGGAGGGGCTGGGGCGTGGCTTAGGGGTAGAGCCCTGTCTAGAATCCCCCAGGGGGGGCTGGGGCGTGGCTTAGAGGTAGAGCCCTGTCTAGAATCCCCCAGGGAGGGGCTGGGGCGTGGCTTAGGGGGTAGGGCATAGACTTAGAACGCGTGAGGCACCAGCACAAACCAGAAACTGCAGGGTGAGACCACAGAGTTGAACTGGGCCAACTTCAAAGTTCAGGGCCAGGTAATTCAGGGGATCAACAGTAAAAGTCATGGTTGGATAGAGTGAAAGGAAAAAATAGGGCTACTGGAGTTGGTGGCCAAATGAACATTAAAGCTGGCATCAGCCAGGATGGTGGGATCAGAGGTCCACAGGGGGAATGGGTGGGACATTCAAGTTGAGTGACTAGCTGGACATGAAGGGTTGAAATCAGAGTATAGGATGGGCTCAATTTTGGTTTGGAGGTGGGTGGTGGCCTTCAGACAGGAGAAAAGAAAGGTTACAGGATGGGGTCTGGGAAGCTTCTGGAAGGGAGGGGAGGGTGGGCTGTGTGTGATCTGGACTTGGTCGAGTGGTCACCTCTGTTCCTCACTGAGCTGGCGCTGGGCTCGGAGGGCAGCCAGGATGGGTGGGCGGGGGCTCAGGCTGTAGAGCTGGCAACGATGCTGTAGCTGCTGGATTCGCGCCAGGATCTCCCATTCCTGAGGGGGTGTCTACTGAGACCCTGCCCCAGCCCGCCTCCCACCCTTGGGCATCCCACCCACCCAAGCACCCCCTCCTCACCTTCCTCCTCTTCTCAAAGTTGATGAGATCTCCCTGAGGGGGCAAAGCCGGCCTGAGCTACAGCATCCAGGGTCAAGGGTCAAAGGCCAGTTCAAGAGCAAGATGGTGTGAGCCACCATGGTGTGTGTGGGGGGGGTTCAAGGCAGGCCCACAGGTGGATACCTGGAGGGCCGATGTGTGGGGGTAACAGAGCAGGGGTCAGGAGTCAAGGGTAAGGGGTCAAACCTTCAGCGTATCCGGTAAGGCTGTGTCCAGCATCACCAAGTCTGTGAGGAAGGTGCCAAGGTAGGGGACAGGCCCCGGGGGCAGCTTCTGAAACCCCAAAGCTCCGGTCACTCCCTGGCCTCACTGGCTCCACGCCCCTCTCCAAGAGTCCCCCCTGCCATCCCCGTCCCCATCCTGAACCCTATCACTTACCGATGGCCGACTTCCGGGGAGGCAGTCATCATCGTGGGGTCCCTCGGAGGCCTCCTCCTGAGAAGAAGGGAGAAGCTAAAGGAACCCGAGGCCCACTTTGAAACTTCACAGAGACCACTTTGAGGCCCCCACATGTACCCATGTTGATTTCAAAAACCACAAGCTGGGGGCTGGTGAGATGGCTCCGTAGGGAAGGAGACCTGCCGCCAAGTCTGACAAGCTGCGTGGGAACTCCAGGACCCGCCCTCCCACACACATATACAGAGAAGTAAGTGTAATTTAATTTGTTGTTGTTGTTAATCACAAGCCGGAGGCTGGGGCTGGCTGGTTCTTGGTGGGTCAGGACAATGCCTGGCACACAGTAGGTTTGCTGGTTCTTGGTGGTCAGGACAATGCCTGGCACACAGTAGGTTTGCTGGTTCTTGGTGGGTCAGGACAGTGCCTGGCACACAGTAGGTTTGCTGGTTCTTGGTTGGTCAGGACAGTGCCTAGCACACAGTAGGTGTGCTTTTTGTCCCCTGAGGCCTCCTCCTTTGAGATACATCTTCACTGGGAAGGTTTTTGGTTTTGTTTGTTTGTGTGTATGAGGATGGGTATGTGTAGGTGTGTGTGTGCAGTACCTCAGGAGGCCAGAAGAGGGCATCGGATCCCGTGGAGCTGCACGAGTGAACACTGGAACCAAACTCAGGTCCTCTCAAGAGCGCAAGTGCTCTTGACCACTGACCATCTCTCTGGTTCCCCGATGTCTGTTTGTTTGTTTTGAGATAAGGTCTTTACTGTAGCCCAGGCTGTTTGCAAACTTGTGTGATCCTCCTGTCTCATTCCTGAGTTCTATCCTTCAGGTGTGACTGAAGCCACCTGTCTTGCTACCCATTAACAAGGTATTTTTCTCTTCTCTTCTTTCTTTCATTCATTTTGTTCTTTTTTTTTTTTTTAGACAGGGTCTTATGAAGCCCAGGCTGGCCTCAAATTCTCTTTGCAGCATAGAGTGACTTTGAGCTCCTGCTCTTCCTGCCTCTGCCTCCTGAGTGCTGGGGTGGAACTCAGGGTGTCATCATGCGATGTAAGCTGCAACCAACCCAACCCAGCTCCAGCCCCATGGCATCTACTGAACATCTCCTGTGCTGTCACGTGCTGTGTTGTGTGATGACTAGCCGGGGGTGACCAATGATCAAAATGTCTGACCATTTGTGAAGGAAAGATGGGACAGCCAAGATAACCCGTAACGGAGAAGGCAGGAACAAGAGCCGTTAGGTGGGTAAGGGGAGGGGAGTGTGGAGATGACCGGGAAGGGGCCTCCTGAAGGTGGAGAGATTGGGAAGAGACCTGCAGGAGGTGGGTGGGCATGGGTATAGAATGTTCCAGACCCAGGAATCAGGCTTCATGCTCATCTACACAGAATTCACACTGAGGACAAGTACCCGATTCTAACCAGAACCTTACACTCCTGCTGCAATAAGTCAGACGTACTGGCTCACATTTGAAAATCCTGCTTATCAAGGTAAATTCCTAGAACACGGCTCCTTCCCTGCCCCCCTTGGCTATGACTCTGGCCTTAAGTGACCCTTTCCTCTGACCTTCTTGCATTTTGCTGAATGAATAAACAAGGCTGATGATATGAGTGAAAGAGAAAGCAAGCCGGAAAAGGAAGTGTTGGGCCAGCTTTGCACAAGATCACTGAAGGAAAGGATGTTTCGAGAATATGATGCTTCCCTGGGATGGACTCCAAGTCCCCTTAACCCTCACTGTCCTGGAACGTGCAATGTAGACCAGGCTGGCCTTGAACTCACAGATCCATCTGCCTCTGTCTCCCAAGTGCCGGGATTAAAGTGTGCGCATCCAGGCCCTGGTTTTTTGTTTTTGTTTTTGTTTTTGTTTTTTTGTAAATTTTGTTTCCTTTTTGTTTTGCTTTGAGACAAGGTCTCTTGGAGTTCAGGATAACCTTGAACTCACTTTGTAGCCAAAGATGTCCTTGAACAACCTGTCCTCCACCTCTCAAGTGCTGGGATGAAAGGCTACCCCACCATGCCTGACTTACATGGGCTTCATGCATGTGACTAAGCCAGGTTCCTAGCCCCTTTTGGGGGTTTCTGTGTGTGTGTAAATATGTTTGTGTGTGTGTGTGTGTGTGTGTGTGTGTGTGTATGTGTGTGTGTGTGTTAGGCCAGAGGTCAACACCAATTATCCTGGGACTGGAGAGATGGCTCAGTGGTTATGAGCACTTGTTCTCAAAAACGACTGGGTTTGATTTCCAGCATCTACATTCACGACCATTTATAGCTCCAGTTCTAGGGGATCTAATGCGCTCTTTTGATCTCTGTAGGTACCATGCATGTACACAGTACACACATATACACAGAGGCAAACATACACATATCAAGTATTTCCTATATTGATCTCTGTATTTTTTGAGACAAGGTCTCTCTCTCTCTCTCTCTCTCTCTCTCTCTCTCTCTCTCTCTCTCTCTCTCTCTCTCTGGTTTTTTGAGACAGAGTTTCTCTGTGTGGCTTTGGAGCCTTTCCTGGAACTCACTCTGTAGCCCAGGCTGGCCTCGAACTTACAGAGATTCACGTGCCTCTGCCTCCCTAGGATTAAAGGCGTGCACCACCACTGTCCGGCTAGGGTCTCTTTCTTAACCTGGAACTTGATACTTTTGGCTAGATTGCCTATCCAATGCCCCCGTCCGCCTGTCTCTGCCTCCCTCATGCTGGGATTACAGCGCTCTCCATTAGGCATTTATGTGGCTGCTCAGAGGCTTCTGAGCTCAGAGGCTCCCCCTGTGCAGAAAGGCTGAGCCAGCTCCACAATTTTTGGATATTTTGAGACAGACTCTCACACAGGTCAGGCTGGTCTTGTTATGTAGCCCTGGCTAGCCTGTAACTTGCTGTGTAGATCAGGCTGGCCTCTAACTCACCAGTGTTTCTCCTGCCTCAGCCTTCCAAGTTTTGGGTTATAAGCATGAACCACCATACTTTCTTGAATTTGGGGTACCCAATACCTGGGAAAGAATTGCTCGGCAGCTGAGATGATTATTCTCATCGGAAAAAATCTGCGACAACTTCCTGAAAGTGGACAGTGGTTCCCTGTGGGGGCGAGAGAGGCGTGACCAGGGTCAGCAGAGGACACAATCAGAGTTGGGATGGGCTTTACAGCGGAGGGCGCGGAGGGCGCGGAGGGCGCGGAACTCACCGGCTCACGGCCCCCCAGCTGCGCTTGAGCCTGTAGATGGGGTTAGACTGCAGGGCAGACAGGATAGCTCGCAAAGAAGAGAAATTGCGAAGTTCCCTGCAGCGCTGGGAGTGAGGGGGTGGCTGGGTCAGGGGGTGGCTGGGTCAGGGGCTGGCTGGGTCATGGGGTGGCTGGGTCAGGGGGTGGCTGGGTCAGGGGGTGGCTGGGTCAGGGAGTGCCGTCTGTCTGTCTCGCAGGCACAGCTCCGCTGATAACCGTGTCTCGGTGTTTTCGTTTCATTTGTAAAGACAAGGACTGCTTACAGAGCTGAGGCTGATCTTTCTGCCTCCACCTCCCTCGTGCTGGGATTACAGGCATGTGCCAGTACACCGGCTTGAGGGTGGGTTTTCTGATACCAGGTCAGACTCCAGAGAGTGACTAAGCTCCCCTTTCTCCAAGGAATCTCTTGTCCCCTCCCTCAGCTCTCAACCCCTCCTGGCTGAGCTGGCTCTTCCATCCTTCTCTCTAGCTTCAGAGTTCTCCTACACGTGCCCACAGCCTCCCTTCGCCAAGTCCTCCAGGATCACCTTTTCCCCTCCCCCACGCCCCCACGCCCCCAGACTCCTGATCTGCTTTTTCCTCTTTTCCCATCCCCCACCGCAACGCTATTCTTTCATTACATGCACTTCCAGGCTCCAATCCTGAACCTCACCAAGCTGGTTTCCCCGCAATTCCAGGCTACTCTCCTGGTCTCACCCTAGGCCGGCTGCTGGACCCCGCCCGAGCCCCATCCCCAGGGCACACCTGGGCGATGCGGATCCACTTTTCGATGCGCTGTGCCCTCTGCGAGGCCGCCAGGCCGGGCGCTGCGAGCACGGAGCCCAGCACGCAGCCCGTAACCGCGTTGAACTGGGCCACGGTGGCGCGCACTGTCGGGGAAATGCCTGCAGCTCCCGGCCGGTCGCGCTGGGACCACATGGAACCCAGGCACTCGCAGGTCCGCACGCGCAGGAAGAGATCCTGCGTAGAGGAGAGGAGGGTGAGATGCGAGCTCATCCTGCAGGCCTCCCCCTGCCCCACCACCCTGCCGCTGGCCGGGGTCCCCACCACGTCCATGAGGGTCAGCTGCTCCGCCACCTCATCCACGCTGAAGTCCAGAAGCTCGGGGCCTTCTGAACAGGGGCCCTCCTCTTCCTCGAAGTCCTCGGCAAACTCTGATCTGGGGGACTGGGCAGCCCTGGGCGGGCCTGGGGAGTAGATACAGTGTTTAAAACTCACTTTGGGGCTGAAAGGATGGCTCCGCAGTTGAGAGCACTTCCTGCTCTTCCAAAAGACAGGGGTTGGATTCCCAGCGCCCACATGGTAGCTAAAACTGTCTGTACCTCCAGTCTCAGGGGACCTACTGAATCTACAGGGTGCCTCTGCGGCCATCATACACATGTGGGATGCACTAACGTAAGTGCAGGCAAAACACCCAGATACATACACACATAAAATAAGAGACAGAGACAGAGAGAGAAAGACAGACACACACACAGAGAGAGGGAGAGAGAAGGTGTAAGAATGTGGAGGGAAGAAAAAAGAAGTCTCAATTTGACCAGGCCTGCTGCGCCAGCCTTTGATCCTAGCACTTGGGAGCAAAGGCAAGTGGAGATCTTGTGAGTTCAAGGACACCCAGGGCTATATGGTAAGACATTGTCTCAAAACAAAACAAAGAAACCACCCCAACACACACACACACACACACACACACACACACACACACACACACACACTGACATGATGTGCTTCATACATGAAAATAAATGAATAAATGTTAAAATAAAATAAAAAAATAGAGGGCTGGAGAGATGGCTCGGATGTTAAGAACATATGCTATTACTCCAGAAGACTGGAATTTAGTTCCAAACACCCATGACAAACAGCTCACAACTGCTTACAACTTCAGCTCCAAGGGATCCAAAGTTTCTGGCCTCCACAGGCACCTACACTTGTGTGTGTCATCCCCCATATACAGATAATTTAAAATAAACCTTAAAAAAAAAAAAAACCGCAGCCTCTAATTCTATCTAAATGTGGTGGTGAAGACCTGTTACCCCAGGGGAGCAAGACTGGGAATCTGAGGTCAGCGGAAACTCTGTAGTGGCTTCAGACATGCACAGCTATACCCTACCTCAATAAAACAAAAGACAAACCCCAGAAAGCCAAGCCCCAACCCCAAATTCTTGCTTGGCTGAATGGCAGAACGCAGGTTAGGTCAATCCCTAGCCACACACAAACAAAGAAAAGTTCTTATCAGGGACTGGAGAGGTCACTCACCTGGTGAAAGACCCACAAGGCAGAGGGCGAGAACCTCTCCCACCCCACACCACTCCATCACGGAACAAAAAAGAGAAATGCCATAAAAGATATAAAACTTGAAAGTGGAAAGGAAACTTCTTGGTCGTCAGTTAAGTGGAGAGAACATGTTGTCAGTAGGCATCGCCAAGTAGCTGCTACTCCGTAGAGCAGCAGAGAGTGGCCTGTCAGCTCAGGGCTTGAGGGATTAAAGGATGAGGATTAGGGACACAGAATCAGATCGCAGGAGATCAACAGGAGATGATTCCGTATAAGCAGAGCGCAATTATTCAGTTAGCTAATCCGAGTTGTCCCTGCGTGTGGGGACAAAGCCAACAGGAACCTTTGCTCCTGCACTCACAGGATGCAGGAAGCCCAGGCATCAGTCACAAGTGTCATGCAGAAAAATAAGGCAGCCTCAGCGGCGTAAGGCAGGAGAGTCACTCAGAAGAGAAGTGATATTTCTTCCTGTCAGATTTGGCGCCTTTCATCCCAGCATTCAGGAGGAGAGGCAGGACACTCTCTATGAATTCAAGACCAGCTTGGGCTACATATCAAGTTCCAGGCCAGCCTGGGCTACACAGGAGACACTCTCTCAAAAAACCCAAACAACAAAGCTCAAAATTTCATTTAGGTTCATTGAGAAGGCTGATTGGCACATGTGGGCCATGGTGTGCCCCACCACCAATAAATAAATAAACTGCAAATAAATAAATGAACACGTAAGTAAATAAAACTCGCCCATCTACTGTGTGTGTGCAGTTCTCTCCAGCCTGTTCTCTCCTTTCTTACGTGAGTCTCAGAGAGCAAACTCAGGCTGCCAGGACTGTCTGAGGGCCCCTTTGTCTGCTGAGGCCTCTCACAGCCCCAGAAGTGACATTTCAACAAGTGACATTTCACCTGAGTGAGATTTGTAATTTTCCTCTCTATCCTCAACTTTGTTTTCAGACAGGGTCTCACCACGTACCCCCGGGTGGCCTGGAGCTCACTGTATAGCACAGGCTAGCTTCCAGGCTAGCTCACAAATTTGTCTGTAGTGTTTGCTGGTACCTAGGTACTCATAATAAGGTGTCTATATGATGTTTGGGCATACACTCCACTGCACCCGGCAGATATCGAAAAACTCAGATGCAGTGGGAAAATTGCTTCAGTTGCATGGGGATCAGATGTCCTCTTCTGACTCACACTGGCTGGCACTGCATGCACATGGTGCATTTAATGCAGAAAAAGCACTCAAACACATAAAGCTATAAACAAACAAATTAGTTAAAAAATAAAACAAAAAGACTACAATAGTAACAAAAATAATACCAGGGATAGTGGCACATACTTGTAATCCCAGAACTGGGGAGTTGGGGCAGGAAGATCAGGAGTTAAAGGTTATCCTTGGCTACATATTGAGGCTAGCCTGGGCTACCCGAGATCCTGTCGAAAATTAAAAACAACACACAATAATAATATGTCTGGTCAGATGGCCCAGCCATTAAAAACAACAGAACCCATATAATGGTAGAAAGAGAGAATAACTCCAAAGGAGTGATGTACTCTGTGGCATGCAGGAATCCAGATACATGTGTCACACACACACACAATAACAACAAACACAAATCAGACAAAATACAAAGACACATGGCCAACCATTACTGCTTACTGATTTTCTGTGTGTTGGATGTCCTTCCCAGGAGGGTGAGAACCCTAGTCCACCATTATGTGGCCAGAGCTAGTGTCTCAACAGGTGCTAATGGAAAATGGAGCAATCACAGTTATCATTCCCATTTTGCATGTAAGGAAATCGAGTCTCAGAGAGGAGAAGAGACCTAACCAAGGTCACACAATCAGCAAATGGCAGGCCTGGGATTTGAACCCAGGTTGCTGCTCTTGGCTGGGCAAGCACTTAGCCACTAAGTGACATCCCAAGCCAGAGAACAGAGGATCTTGGGGTGCAGGGGGACACTAGGCAAGTGCTAATAGTGTTGATAAGGACTTGTAATCAGGTGGAGAAAATAAGACTCGTTTAGTTTAGAAGTCTTGCCTATGGGACTGGCTGAGGAATGGTTCTGGGGTAACATGTTTGCCATGCAAGTGTGAGGAGCTGAGGTCAGACCTCCAGCACCCACAAACTGCCAGGCACAGTAGTGCAAGCCCAGCCCTGGGGAAGCAGAGACAGGAGGAACAAGGGCAAGGGCCAGCCAGCAGCCAAATGGGTGAGCTCCAGGTTCAGTAAGTAAGAGACCCTGCTTCAAAACAAGGTGGACAGCAACACAGGGAAGCAGCTAGCACTGTCCTCTGACACATGAACACACACACACACACACACACGCACACACACGCATGCACGCACACACACGTTAAGGAAGGAAAAAGGAAAGGCAGCTTTTCCGAGGGCTGGGGGTGTGGCTCAGTGGTAGTGTTCGCCTAGTATGCAGAAACGTCTGAGTTCATTTCCAAGCACTAAAATAAAACGTGTTCAGGGTCTGTCCTTTTGAGAGGGGTGGCACAGTCTGGGGATCTCACCAGCACTGAATGTCCCTTACCTGCCCAAGCCAGTCGCTGATCCTCCCCTGCCTGCTCTCCCTTAGCCTCCTCCAAGAAATCTTGTAGAAGTTTCTCTGCTTCTCTAGCTTCTGCCCCTCCTGGGGCGGCCCAGTCCAGAAAGATTCGGACATTGCCCAGGTTCTGATGGGCAGGGGGATCCCGGAAGTCCTGAGGATGGTCTCGCAGCCAAGAACCGAGTACCGAAATCACAGCCCTGCACAGAGAAGGGTGTGTGACTCAAAGCTAAGTCCAAGATCTAGTCCTTCCCAACCTTGCAGCGGTCAGGCCTGACCTTGAGGTCCCTTCCCCCACTCTCCCTTGGGTCGCGGATGGATGGGGGGTGGAAACCAACCTCAGGTTCTTGCTGAAGCTCAGATCCTGCCCCTCTGCCATCTTGCTGTCTACCCTGGGAAGAAAGCCTCTATCAGATGGGAATGGAGCTACAGAGCTTTAAGACCTGTGCTCTGGGGTTCTAAATCTGAGGGATGGGGGCAGAGGGGTTCTCCTGAGAATGACTGACCCAGGAGGTGGTGGTGTCGGGGGCGGGGGTAGCAGAAAGCCCAGAACGCGGGCTGTGGGCACAAAGGCCCGGTGGGTGGCCAGGAAGGCGGGCACGAAGCCAGGATCCTGCTCACGGTCTCCGGACACCAACTCATGCACCAGCCGCTCCAGTCGGGCGGCCCTCAGCGCCCGCACCTTGCTGGTGCGGTACTGGAGGAAGCAGTCGGCAGCCGGGTTGGGAGCCTGCGGGGGGGGGGGGATGGGGAGAGGTGGGACGGTGGATGAAATAACCCGAGGGGCGTCCCAAGCCCCTTGTTTCCCACCACACCCGTCTCTGGCACCTCTTTTTTGCTTCTGACCGTGTTCATTTTTGAACAATCGAGACTCCCTAAACAGATGTCCAATCATCAAATGCCCACATCAACCCTGCAGGCCACCCCATTGCTCTAAGCTCTGCCCTCCTGTTCCCTCCTCAACCGGCCACCCCAGGCTTCCGTCAGCCTTGCAGTCTCGCTCCACTGGCCAAGCCTCGGTCCCACCTACCCCCACCTGGCCGCTCCTCCTTTCAGATTTCCTGCACCCTGCCGGTCAGTTTCACCTCTTGGGGACGCGCGATCGCTTGGCCCCACCCCATTTCCTGGATGTACACCCAGTCACCTGGCAGCCCCCGGGCCTTTTCCACTCACCTGGTGGCCTCTGAGCTCCGCCCTTCCTCCTGGCCCCGCTGCTCTTGGGAGGCTCACCCTCGGCTCTCCAGCTTTTCCCTCTCCTCCGCACGCCCAGGCCGCTGAGCCGAGGCCGCCCTCACCTGCTCACCTCCAGCCCCTTCCTCACCTCCAGCCCCTTCCTCACCTCCAGCCCCTTCCTCACCTCCAGCCCCTTCCTCATCTCCAGCTCCTTCCTCACCTCCAGCCCCTTCCTCGCCTCCAGCCCCTTCCTCGCCTCCAGCCCCTTCCTCACCTCCAGCCCCTTCCTCACCTGCTCGCCTCCAGCCCCCTCCGGGGTCGAGCGCCGGCTGCGCTGCCGCCGCAGGGAGACGCTGTACACGGCGCCGTCCTCGGTCTCCTCGCCCCAGTCCTGCAGCGGCGCCTGGATGGGAGGCGGGCTCAGGGCAGGGCCCCCGCCTCTGCCCCCCGCCTTTCTGTTTGGCCCACTTTCCCGAGCAGAGTCCGCGAGACTCGGGGTGGGAGCCCAGGTGGGTCCCTCTGCGCCACGGATACCCCCCTCCCAGGTCTTGAGGGGATGAAGTAGCGTTTGGGGACACTCCATAGTCCAATGCCGCAAAGGATCTGTTGCTTCCTCCCGAGATGCGCTCAGTCCCCGGTCCCCACCCCACAGACCAGCCGCTTCGCGGGTCAGGAACTCTGAACCCCCAAGTGGAACTCCGGGGCACATCCATTTTGCGGGAAGAAGATTAGAAGACGAGGGCTGGATACCTGGAGTTTCTGAATCTGGGGGTAGACCCGGGGCGTGGGGTCCGAGGGTTCCCCAGCTCCCTCTTACCAGGGCGAGCTCTTTGCCCGCTGTCCTCTCCATGGCCCCGATGCCCGATGCCCGTCCTGCTCCCTGGCGCCGCTGCGAGAGGCGGAAGGGCCAGCGGGAGCGGGCAGCGGGGCGGGGCGGGGCGGCCGCGCCGCCAGTCGCGGGGCGGGGCTGGGCAAGGCGGGCGGTCGCACGGCTCCAGAGGTCCCCAGCCGGACCCCGGCACCCGGGCCAACCCACAAGTCCGGGTCCTCCCCAGAGGTGTGTCAATCTGTCACCCGGACCATAAGTCTCCCTGACTCCAGATACGGGTGTAGGTGGGGGGCGACCACGGGTCTGTGTCCCCGGGCGGGAAGGTCTCTGCGCTCAGTTGGGGTGGGTCGGTCCCAGGTGTGGGGGTGCCCCCTACGTCTGGAGGGGAGGAGGGCGCGCTGAATTTGTATCAGAGGTGATGAGAGCCATATCATGTCAGGCTGGAAGCTGCCGAGTGTCTGCGGCCCTGCGTTGTGTGGGGTCAGCCATTTGGGGGCGGTGCGGGGTCAAGAAGAGGTGAATGCCCAGGGGGTTGGTCGGTGACCTTTATTGCGCGATTCTGAGGCGGGCTCTAACCCGACTTGAGAGATTTACTGTGGGAACGTAGGGCTCGGCCCTTCCTCTCCTCCGGGCGCCGCTGGCCAGCGGTGCCCTCTGCTCCAGCCTCCTTCAGCCCCTGAAGGAGCCTCACGGGCTCCCCCACACCGGTAAGTGGGCCCAGAGGGTCGGAGGGCTCCCTGGAGGCGTCCGATGGGACGTGACTGCGAGTCTAGGACCTGCGCGACCTACTGCGCTTCTTGCTGCGGGCTTCGATTAACTTCTGGGAACGGAGCTTGAAGGCAGTGCGGGTCACCACGTCACGGTCGTCGTCCTCACTCTCCTCTTCGTCTGCACAGAGGCAGGACGGGCGGGGAGCGTAAGAGAGCGCTTCGGGTCCCCTTCCCAGACTTGACCACACCATGCACCTCCTCCTTGGCCTTGACCTAGGGCCACCTCGTGCCCTCCCGTCCATCCCCCTTTGGCGCGCACTGACCGAAGAACTTGTCCTTGGGGGTGGAGACGGGCAGGACAATGCGGGTGTTGTAGAGGGGCAGTCTTCCTTCCAACGTGCTCAGGAACTACAAGAGGCCGGAGAGAGGTGTGCGGACTGCAGTGAAGCGCTCTTCCTCCTTCTCCCGCTCACCGCAAGACAGTGCCCCAGTTCTAGGAGACCACTGTCCACTCTGCTGCATACGCTTTCCCAGCAGGCTTACACTGTCACGCAAGCCTGCTGCCCACAGGCCTCTCCAGAATCACCCCAGGCTCTCCAGGCCTGCCATCTGGGTCCCCCCGGTCCCCCCCCCTCTCTGATATGAAGCTCACCCCGCAGTCCCCACTTGTCGTTCAGCCTGCCCTCTGGTGTCCCTCCCTCCCCCAGCCTGGATCCCTGCCGGCAGACGTGGGCGCACCTCGCGTTCTGCGATGTGGCGCAGCATCTCTGGCACGTCGTGGGTCTCTAGCTGCCCCTGCAGTTTCAGCAGCTTTTCCTCGAAAACGACCAGCAGATTGGACACGTAGTCCTCTGCATCCGGGTCTAACTTCTTTCCTGCCAAAAGGCTATCATCCTGCAGTGGGGACCGGCCAAGTGAGGAGAGATGCGGGGTCCCTGGGAAGGGACAGGCTTCACCCACGACTGGGGCTTTTCCCAGGGAGGGGAGAGCTTTGAGACAGAGTCCACCCACAGGCGGGTCCTCTAAAATTAAAGCCTTGCCTTGAAGGCGGAGCCTTTGGACTTGAGCTATACAAAGGACACGAACTAGGCCATTGAGAGGGTGGCTTTCTAAAGAAATTGCGCTCTTGCAGACAGGGTGGGACTTTCTTCGCCAGGGGCTGCACCACCCCTGGAGGGCTGCTCAAGTTTTGGGTTGTTGGGGACGGTTGGTTTTGCTCATGGAGTCAGTTTGAGGCTGAGCGAAAGAGGACTTCCCAAGGAATGAGGGACTCGGACAGTGCTGCGTGGCGTGGAACTTTCTTCCTTAAACGGGGCCTCGCGTTCTGGGAAGGAGACAGGGCTGGGATCCTATGACTCGTGTGGCACCTTTACTCCAACGCTCCGAAGCTCCGGGAGGGCGAGGGCAGGGCTCACCAGGACGGGGTGGGGCTTTCTGCGGTGGAACCTCCTAGGGATGGTGGCCATTAGGGGCGGGGCATCACTAGGGGGAGATCTGTACCAGGGCGGGGCCTACCATTGTCACGTGGCTCAGTTTGTTGGTCAGATGCTCCAAGCAGTCCTTGGCCAACTCGAGGGTTCGCAAGGTGCGATCCAGTTGCTCCTGGGTGTTGTTGCGCCGCTGCTCCTCCGTCTTGAGTGTCTCCTGCATCTGGTCGCGATGCTTCTGCTGGCTGCCGGGAGCCGGGAGGGTCAGTAGCTACAGGCGGCTGACTCCAGCGTCCCCCGGGGCCTCCCTCAGCCACTGAGGCCTCACCTAACCAGTGTGGCGTCCCCTGAGTACTTGAGGTTCTCCAGCTCGCTCTGGAGCCGCTCCTTCTCCTCCTTCAACTTCACCAACGTCTGCTCGTTGTCCCTCTTGAGATTCTCCAACTGCGTGAAGGTCTCGTCCTGTGCCAGGAACCTGCGCACCACCGCCTGCGGGCCACCCATCCCTGGTCAGAGCCTGGGTCAAGGGAGACTCAGGGCAGTCTGACTCTGCCGGTGTCACACGGCCGTGTGTGAGGATCGTGCGGGTCAGTCTCCTGGCCGTTTCAAGGCTGTCCTTTTCCCCACGTCCTTTCCTGCCTACATTTGAGTCAGCTAAAATCGGCATGCGGGAGGCAGCAGAGTGGTGAAGACAACCGCTTTCAAAACCACTGTGCCAGCAAGTTCTGACCGGGTATCTGGCCCCAAAGCACAAAGACCCTGTGCTTCTGGGGTGCGACCAGCCCTCCTGGCTGCTGGTGTGCGCATGTGCTGCAGCACTCATGTGGATGTCAGACTGGGAAGAGTCTGCTGTCACTGTCCACTCCACGGGGCCCAAGTTGTCAGGCTTGGGAGCGATCATCTTTACACAGGGAGCCACCTCACCAGCCTGGGATCCACTTCTGCGGGGGAGGGGGGGGGCTCGAACTGGTGAATGGGTCTGCAGCGGACCTCACAGGTCAGAGCCAGGATAGCCTGGGGATTAACCCCTTCTGAGGAGTGGCGGGGTGCAGAGAACCCAAACTGGAGAAACTGACGTGTGTGTGTGTGTGTGTCTCGCAGCCGCGGTCAGTGTTCTAAAGCAGGATCAGGCACCGGGAGGGAGACACACAGGGTCTTGGAAGACAGCATGGCTCCTAACAAAGGACACACAGAGCAGGGCCCCGATTCCACGGTTGGGGCGATAGTGGGCGGTCTACCGAATCCTAGATCACTCCACACAGTGATGATCTGAGAAACAGAACCTGGCAGATAAAACTCCCAGAACTGACATACCAAAGAAGTCAGCAGAAGGGAAGGAAGTGAGGGCTGGTGGTGTGGACAGCTGTGCCGGAGGTGGAGCGGGCAGGAGAGGACGCCTGTAAGGGAAGAGGAACCTTCTCTGGCTCCTGTGCTGGCCCGAGCCACTCACGTGTGATTCAGCCACTCCGGTGGCATCCTTGATCTTGCCAAACATCACTTCCATCTGGTACATGCCCCAGCGCTGCTTCAGCTCCTCCTCCTTGTGGCGCTGGTAGTCCTGGATTGTGTCTTCCGACTGCAGCAGTATGTGTTCTCGCTGCGTCTGCTTGAGGGTGGGGGACAGTCAAGGCCACCATCAAAGTCAGCTCCGGATAAGGGCTTAGGGCAGAGGTCAGGAGACGATCCGGTTTAGCTTGAATTGTGGGGGGCAGGACAAAGTCTTGGGACTAGGTACGGTTGTCCCCGTAGAAGTCAAAGAGGTGGTCTCTGTACCAGGGCAAGGAGGCGGGGCCATAGAAGGAGGGACCTCCAGGAAGGGGAGGGCTGGAGCCCAAGTCAGATTTCGAACACAGGGGTCTAAATTGAATGGGGAAGGATGAATCAGACAACCAGGATAAGACTGCAGGCCATGACCCCTCCCAGGAAAGGAGGGTGAGAGGTGAGATGGTGCGAGGAACCGACTGCATCAGGAGGGGGCGGGGCTTGGACGAATGTGAGGCGCAGGGAAGGCTCTAGGTCAGGATGTGGGTGCCGAGCCGAGGAGGCTTGAGACCCGTCGGGTTTGAGCTGGCGAAGCCCTGCACCTTCGGGTGTGCACACCTTGCGCTCCATGCGCTCAGTCTGAAGCTTCTTCTCTTCCACCCGCTTCTTGCAGTCGGTTATGTAGTGTTCGCGCTTCTTGCGGTCTCGGATCGCAGTCTCCTCCAGATACTGCAGCTGGTTCTAGAGGGAGGGCAGGGCCATCAGGCATCGATCCAGGATAGAAGTGGAGCAGCGGACCCCGGGAGACACAGCAGCAGTACCGACGCTGGGAAAGACTTAAAGACCACTCAGTTCTGACTAGAATTCCCTGAGCCTTTGGTGTTCCGGGGCTGCTTTCTTTGAATTGAAACACGCCCTCCTAGAGGAAGAGGGAGGCTCAAGACTCAGGAAGTGCATGAAACTTACAAGGCTCAAGAAAGAGATTCACAAGTCCTCTCCCCAGGTTACACTGGCTGGGTGAGGAGACTTATGAGTGGAACTCTGGAGACGGACACAGCTTTCACATCAGTAATCCCTCACCCATGCTCTGTAAGGAAGCCCAATAAACTCATTTTTCTCCAAGTTGGACTTTGGTGGATGTTCTGTCGTTGTTTAACTGTGTAGCCCTGGCTGTCCTGGAACTCTCTATGTAGCCCAGGCTGGCCTTGAACTCACAGAGATCTGCCTGCCTCTGCCTCCGAGCACTGGTATTTAAGGCGTGCATCAATGCACCTGGCTGGTTAGTACCGCCTCCCCAGGAAGAGTCCTATCGCAGTGGCGGCCCTGTAGGACCCCACCCCGCCCCTACTCCACCCTGGGCAGGCAGACTGGCACCTTGGCGAGGTCCCGAGCGTTCAGGGCCTCCTGATTCACCACCTTCAGCTCTACCACCTCATTCTTGGTCTTCACCACCTCGGCCTCCATGGAGTCCAGCCGGTTCTCCAGGTTGAGACTCTCCTCCTGGCACATGGAGAGAGGGAAAGCGCGTGACTGCTGCCCCTGGCCAGCGCCCTCCTCACCTACCTCTGTCTCCCAAGCATCCCTACCTGGAGGTAAGACTTGAGCTGCAGGTACACGTTGGTAATGTGCTCTGCTTCCTCTGCCTTCATCCGGGCCTTCTCCAGCCGGTTCTCCAGATTGCGCATGGTCTAGGGGGAGAGCAGGCTGGGCCGGGGTCCCTCCCGCAGGGCGCGCATGCGCCCCCCCCAGAACCCTCCCCCCGCAGCCCCCAGCAGG